TATTTTTTTAAATTTTACATCGACGAGATGACAATTGCTGATGGGAAATGTTGTTGACAGCTGTTGTTAAGATCAATTCACATTGCGATAACTTGCATTGTCTTGGGTGTGTGGCTCAATTCTCCCGATAAAGATGGAAATTTTAATTGCGAATGACAGGAAACAAGTTTAACGATGTTCAGGGAATGGTGGTGGAACGGGGTCCAAAAGTCCCCCCGGTCTTTCTCTTCCCGTACTATCCGTTGAATCTACGCTTTCCCACAACTTTTCCATGAAGTCAGAGGCCTTCAAAATGGATTATTCGGCTCCCGACTGGTAGTCATGAAAAGGATAAAGTTCTAGGGCGTTGCTCAATCCTGTCTGAAGGATGGGCCCTGCATTCAACTTCCAATCAGAATCGTAGTGGCGTATTGAATGCGTACGTGGCCTATATAATGACTTGCGGGGCCATCTGATGTACAAGCCAGTGCCTTTATCCTCCCAGACAGGCCTGGTTCCAATCGACCGGCCCAGTAGGGATTGAAGGCTTGGTTGACCTTAGGCGTATACCGGTCCGGGATTCGAACTCGTGATCATGCTTGTGTGATAGTGTGCCTCTGACTTTTAGATCACCTCCACCGTTTGATTTCAGACCAGATAGCCCAGAATCGCTTCGCGAAATGGTCAGGGCTGTATGTCCATTGTGGCTACAATCGTCAATGAAACAGATTACATTTTTGCGGACCAAACTTTGCTCCTCAAACGATGTTCCTCCGTTGTTGTGAGGTGTTCGTCCTAAAAATAATATAATTGAAACTAGTGAACTTCGATCTGGGTAATATCTGCGAACGACTTCAATTTTATGAGACTCATTTCTTCGGTTCTTTCATAACCTCCCACCGTCACCCACCGAGAGGGTGGTTTTGTTTATTCGTCCGAAATGACGCTATTTTCATGCCGACGGATATGTGATGTGCAGAATTTTGTCCCGTTCTCAGCTATGCAAATATTTTCGACCACGAATTCGATAACGCACCTACCACTTTCGTCCATATACGTCATATTATCGCCCCACAAAATCTCTAGCGTTGAGGGGAATTCGGCTTTTCTTGGGATAGTTCTTCAAAGTTTTGGCCAGTTGAAGAGCTACTTTATTTCTGCTCAAGTCCATTCGAGATTCGTTCAAGAGATAGGGCTCAGGCTAGGGGTAAGGAGGCACACGGGTACGATTAGGCAGGCTGTCAAGATCAGATCTGGTGGTGGTTAATCAAGCCTTCATCACAGAAGGATTAGTTGAGCAGTACCAAATAAGGGAACAACACCCCCTTGTTTGTCTGATGTATCCGCTGTCAATTGTCAAGTATGATGAACCTTCCAGCTGTTTCTGGTAGAGGTCAGATCTGCGGCTTACTCGACATAGGCTAAGCAGTGCCTATCTCTAGTATGGCCGACAAACTCGAGTTACATTCACTGATCCCAAACAACATGTCAGGCTCCTTTGGGAATTGTTACCAACCCGCATAAAATCCACTCAGTAATACTTAGGGGAACCCTGGCAGTGGTTGTCCTTTTTCGTGTCCGCGCGAGTGCGCTCTCTTCAATCCCCGATGAAGTCCTTCCTAAATCTCTGTCCTTTTGGGCCTTGAACGGGAAACGTTGGCGTTGTCTGATCACCACATGAGCTAGAAGGGAAGACGCACAATAGCTTTTGAAGGAACGTATACTGCGCACAATGAAGGGAGGTGTGGGAGATGGGAAGTTATCAAGGAAAGTACCTAAGAAGCTAGCGGGAGAGGAATCGAGGAAATGGGCAATTCAAGATAGGAGTGCCAGGAAGAACCCAGTGTAACATACAGTTCACGGAATTTCGACCAAAGGCGCCTCCGCTTTCTAGTATGGGTACGAGGAATCGAGGGTGCATAGTGTATTTTCTGACTTTTATCTTTGTCCATTTCACTATTCCTGATTATTTGATGTACTTCCTCGTGCTACCGCTATTGCTCATACCCAGAACAGTTATTGACAGAGGTAATTGGCATCGTCTTGATGAATAATTAATTGCTTCTGTGATATCGTTCTCTCTGTGTCGCCACCTATACTCCTTCAAAATCCACTACCTTAAAGGCACAGTTCACGATAAAAATGGTTCCTGAGATTTCCCCCTAGGATAAATTCGAGGCCCCTGTTATAGCATCTCGAGCGCTAGGTCTAGTTAGGGCGTTATAAAGGCTCGAAGATCGTATATCCTCGTGATTTTCACCGGCATTGCAGAGGTCGTACATTCACGAGGGAACCCATGTAGGAGGCTTAAGCAAGTTGTCATGACCCATAGCGACAGTGAAAGGCAGTTCTGTACAGTTCTGGCTTGGTATAGCGACAGTGAAAGGCAGTTCTGTACAGTTCTGGCTTGATGTAGTCGGTTCTTTGCGAAGTGGCAACAACTGAAATCTCGTCCGAATACCCCTTCCATGTTATTTCCGTCATGTTGATCTCGTCCAAAGTGTATTTTCCCTACTTTTGAGGAGCCTTATTTTTCTCGAAAATGACGAATTTTTTCGCTTTCCTCACTACCGATGAACTATTTCCAACCTATACTTCCGCTTTTTGAATAAAAAATGGTACCGCAAAATTATGGTGAACTGCACCTTTAAAGTTAGATGTTGGAAAGGTAGATTTTATTCTGAAATTTTTCGACTGACAATGAGTAACTTCTGAAGACATTAAATGCCTTCACTGATACTTAAGGTTCCTTAAACAGATGCCAACCATTGCAAANATGGTATTTCCGTCATGTTGATTTCGTCCAAAGTGTATTTTCCCTACTTTTGAGGAGCCTTATTTTTCTTGAAAATGACGAATTTTCTCGCTTCCTTCACTACCGATGAACTATTTCCAACCTATACTTCCGCTTTTTGAATAAAAAATGGTACCGCAAAATTATGGTGAACTGCACCTTTAAAGTTAGATGTTGGAAAGGTAGATTTGATTCTGAAATTTTTCGACTGACAATGAGTAACTTCTGAAGACATTAAATGCCTTCACTGATACTTAAGGTTCCTTAAACAGATGCCAACCATTGCAAAGTTTCTATTCGTAGGTTACTAATTTGTAATGAACATTCCTTCTTTTCATCGCTATCTGATAACGTATAGAGGTGGAAGGGTCGATACTGAAGCAGTTTTAGGCCTGATTCTTCTTGAAAATACTGACCCTCATTTCATGAGGAACACTTCTCCTCTCCATATTTTATCCGCGTTCCTTACCACCAACTGAACGGCACTTGACAACTAGTTTCACTGCATTTCCTCAAGTACACCAGCTTCACATACCTTTTTTCCTGGTGTGCGGGTATAGATTTAGCCGTTGATCAATTCTTTCTAAGATATAATCTTTTATTCGATTCCCATTTAGAATCGTATCCGCTTTTGTAATAATATCTTACCTATGTAGAGCGGAAGTGGTGTAGCTGTGCGCGGCGCCCTCCCACATATGCACCGAGCGCATCTCGAAACCCGATAATCATCTGCCCAGGTCAGCCGAACCTTCCTTCCCTGATAGAAGCCCTGACTCGTGCATCGGTTAGCCACCGCAAGTCATTGGTAAGGCCAACTCCTCTAACTCGATCCTGAAAAAAGCGAATGCGTTGGGTCGAGTCCCAAAAAAGGCTGTGCTTAGGCCCTTCTGTAACCTAAGTAATGTAATAACCTGCGGGGGAGGAGGGCGAACGTACGAGTCATTTCTTCCTAGTCGAGTCTGAGACCAACTAGTTGGAATCTGAAATATTCGGTTGGCCAAGGCAAGTGTCGGTCGAGTCTTTGGTTTGTGGACCATACGTGTGATAATGAGTCACTTGGCAGTACCCCACATCTGTACTTTGCTGATAATCTCGTACAAATACATATGTATAGTAGGCATGGCTACCATGCGCATCACGTGATGGACCTCGTAAGGGTTTATAAAATGTACTTGGAACGCAAAGCTCTTCATTTTCTAGACTTATTTCAACAAAAAAAAAGCGCAACGGAACAGTTGGCGTTTAAAATCATCTTTTGTCACTTATTCCTGGATTGTGATCCTCTTNTGACTGTCTGTTCCCGAGCTCTTTTTTATTTCAAAGCTCTAGAAAGAGTTGACTAAAGCCTTGCCAGAGCACCACTCTATCATCTATCACCTATTACACATATGCTGGTCTTTTTGACCCCATTCTTCCTCGAACATATCCTCTATAACATGTTCTGCTTTTTCATGCTTCCTTGTCTCTTTGGAATCGGACCATCGATAGTTCAATGCTTTACTCATGCTCTCTTTTGGTTCTGAGTACAGGTGGACATCCCTACTATCCTTCCACCGCTCATATGGGATCCCTTGAGACATCCTGCATGACTTTGAAGGCTAGGCATGCTTATCAACAGTGGAAGCTGTTCATCCTCAAAATTTGACCAAAACTGGCAATGAGTTCGTCTTCTTCGAGCCGTTCTTTAACTATAAGGAAGCTCATCTCCATTTATGTCCTTCTCACCTAATTTTCCATCGTATAAGCTTGTGCATGTCTGCCGAGATCTCGCCATCTCGTGACCATATCATAAATGAGTTACAGAGTGAGCACACATACTTCCTCAGACGGAAGTCTCCATCAACACTTTTCTGGGCCTTTGATGGCCAATTGAGTCATGATTTTCCATAGTAAGCATCGCGCTAATCTCTGTGGGAAATCTCCTTCACCTTATCCACCCACGTGCATCGGACTTCCATCAATTTTTCCCAGATTTTGAGCTCTCTTCGAAATGAATCACGAGTTTTTGTCCTGGGCAGCGCCCATTTCGGCTTATCCAACGCTCACAACGTTTATTTACCCCAATTGTGCGTGGGAAAGCTGATCAATGTGATCCTTTTTTGTGACTTTTTAATACAACCGCAGTAAAATTTATGTTATTTCGCATAAATTTCCATTCCGAACAATACATCTGCATCGATTTTGCTTTTATGTTTACTGCTTTCCAAGTTGAATTTACAATTTTCAGAGTAATCTACTCTGGAATGTCGTCGTCACCATCAAGCCGGCTGTGGGTTGGGCCATTACTGCTCATACTTGTTATCGCCTTGATCTACATATTCAGTTTAATGCCAAATTCACCGCCACAAAGGGTGAGTAGCTTATTCGTTATCAGTTCTCATCTTTTTTTTTTTGAACTTTAGGGTTTCGTATTTTTCAGTTGTTGTTGCTTCAAAGTACCTACAGAGGTCTCTTCCATCTGAGATGTTCCTTCCCCCCATCTTTGCTTTAATGGTTATCTTTGTGATTTCCACATTGTCCTTCTTACTCCCACTTGTCTTTTGGGTAATTCGCACGCTGCCATACACCACTTTATTTTCAAATGATAGTACAAGCTGCCTTCCTAGCGTCTTGACGAAATCCATGAAGTCCAGGGCCAGGAATCCACTGTGTTCCTTTTTTTTGAATAAATCGAATTCTTCAGATCCCGTCTTTGAATATTTTCGAGCTTTTTCGCCTCAGTTTTACGCAAATTTTGCGTTCTCAAGAATTGGAAACCTGAATTTTGGAGCAATCTCGATGAACTCTTTCCTGTGGTGTTATGCGATTGAATAGAGATGTTTTCGTAATGAATTCCATTTCATTACTCAGTTCGAGTCGTTCTGTTTTTGGGATCCTCCTTCAAACCTACATAAATTTACTAGCGGCATGTGACGCATTATCACCCATGCATAGTCCTAGGTTCGAATCCCGAATCAATATCTGCCTAAGCCAACTGAGCCTGCCGTCCTTCCGGGGGCGGCTGTTGAGTATCAGAATCGTCTGGGAGGATAAAAATACTATCTTGCTCATCGGTTGGTCACCGCAAGTCATTGTGTACGCCACTACGAGTCTGAATGGAAGTCGGATAGCGGTTCGCCCCTTGGATGGGATTGGTCAACGTCAAAAGATATGACCCTTTAGGACTTAAGGTGACAGTAGATTGGGAATGGTAAAAAGAACTGCTACGATCTGGCCCATAACTCGCGTTACATGAACTTTCGATGGTTCTTTCAAACGTCTTCTCCTCACTACTCATTCGGACTGTTGAGTATTTGTAAGCTGACTCGGAGCAGCTTCTATCATATCCTAAACGATTTGGACTAGTGTTCTCGATTGGGACTCGTGAAGGTGTTGGTTAGACCGTGCCGTGTTCGTGCCATTGGGCATGTTTGTTTTATCCGTATCTAAATTTGGCTCAAAATCCAATATTCAATTATGTACGGAGGTGGGGCATTGCCGAGTGGTGCACTACTGTGTACACGCACGGTGTCGGGGACGAACTTAGGATCGATACTAGTCAAGCCCAACCAAGCCTTCCCTCTCTCCAGCAATTTTTCTTTCATAGGACAATTAAATTGACTATTACTTAGGTTGAGGCTTGAAGGTAAATAGCAATTCCTGCTTCTATGAAATGGATAGCAGTGCGATTCGGCACCGACTGAGCAACTGCTTCCAATAACTGGAAGCGTTGCTGAACAGTGGATAACTGCCCGATACCATAGTAGTCCCTATCAGGCCTCGACCAGTAGGCTTATGTATGATCGCTTAGTAATTAGAAAAAATCCTATATTACGATGTGGTTGCTAAACTATAGATGGCAACCTACACCTAACCTTTTCCATATTATTACTGTCTGGGTATTCATTACAAGTAACGATAAAGTCTTGAGGCGTTAATCAATCCTGTCTGAGGGATGCGCCCGCGCATTCGACTTCCATCCCGTATCTTAGTGGCGTGTTAAATGCGTAATGTTTGTACAATGACTTGCAGTGGACAGCTGATGTGCAAGTCAACGCTTGTATCCTCAATGATGAGTCTGAGTTAATCGCCTCCAGAGAGACTGAAATTGAGTTGGCCCAGGCGGATATCGATCCGAAATTCGAACCCGTGACCACGAGGATGTGATAGTGCGCCCCTTGCCACTACGCTACCGTCCATCTATTACAAATTTGCACTGAATCCTCTTTGCAGGTATTCATATATCGAAGACAAAGTTGACGTTGAAAATGGATACATAGTTTTTTTTTTTGGTAGAATTTTTTTACTGTGTATAGAAAGCATGTGGGGTGCTCCGGTCTACAGTGACCTAAACCATGCGCACTGTGGACTCGAAACTCTTTGGAAAGGACGTATTCGGTGCCGATATTAGTATTCTAAATAGAGCATGTTTGTCATAAATGAATTCAGCTAAATCCCCTCCAAACACCTCGTCGTCATAACCTCGTTCAAATTTAACGAGGAATAGCCTAAAAATTGCTTTGTATTGGGAAATTCCTTGGGTTTCTTTCGCTTTCTTTGTCATCGTTTGACAGTCCTATATCAACACTGCCACTTCCTGAAACCCAATGGAACCTTATGAAATTCTAGTAAACTCAGCTTCTAAGTAGAGTCCCCACTCGTCAATTCTTGCATTCATTCAGTCATTCGTTTGCTCCTTCATTTGCATATTTGTTTCTTTATTTATTTACGTATTTACTGACTGTTTATCAATGCGTATACTCGTTTATGCTTCCGCCCCTTCCGCTGGAGTGAGGTGAATTCAGAAACTCTGAATTGAACTTTTCTCCTTGAAAAATATGTAGTAAACATCCAGAATATCGTTATTGCAAGGCTTCCCAATGCCATATTTGTCCGAGGCAACAGACCATTTTTCAAGAAACTCGAAGGCTTGGTTCTCACAACTGACTATATTATTCTTTCAGGAGCTCACACCACTTCTCGATGATGCTCACCACGTTCGAACGTTTCGTTTAGGTGATCGTGAGATTACCGAGTCCATAAATGAGCTGAAAGTTGAAGTTCCACGTGAGTTCGCTTTTGAGGCAGTAGTTTCTGGGATTTCGTTTCTCGAAGTGATTCGAAGGCTCTTTATAATTACAAATTAGCATATTTCCTATTTCGTATTCCAACTTGTTAGTGTTTCAGCGGAACTTCTTTCTTCCTCATGTTTGAATGGTGGTTTCCTCAATGAAACCGACGGAGGATGCATTTGCCTTCACTTGTACACTGGACCGCACTGTGAGAGACCAGTAAGTTCCTTTTGAATTGTAATATTTACAATCGTAGATAATAATTCGATTTGAATAGAGGTATGTTTGGTGCTGCCACCTTTCGTGATAGAAATGAAAATACTACTGCTATACTGCTTACAGTACTGTCTACTAGAAGGGTCGATAATGTTCTCATTGTAGGGGCTTGTCCAGCTTACAGTTCGCAAATTATTTAGTTTTTTGCTAACATTTTTGACAGCGCTCCTGATAACAGATGCAATCGAAGAGTTAGCCAAGAACGTCCTACACGCGTCTCTTGACGGTTATTCTCAACCGGCGAGTGTCAGTAACGAACCCCGACGAGGCACAGCTTTTAGCTATCTTGAAACTAGCTGGCTAGACTCACGTTGAAAGACACATGCTGAAATTCCATGTTTTCTGGGTGACTCGGCATTCAGTAGAAGCTGCACCCTACGTATGCTGCCGTAGCAGCTTACTTCGGCAATGAAATGGCCGGGCTTTTTCTAGTTACTGGGTACCTACCCTCTCTGTCTCACAGCCTTTCGCTCGGAGGGTCACCTCATGATAATTACTTAATATGTTGAGTTAACAATGCTAAGTTTGCAATTGTCAGTTGTTAGTCAAGAAGGTTTGAAATTTGTGAGCGAATAGCGCTTTCTTAGATGTAGTGAAGCAAAGTTTTGATTAGGTGCTCTGTTACCATTTTAAAGGCACTTTTAAAACGGCGGTACTGAGCTTCCGTGTAGATCCACCTTCAAGCATCTTGGGACATGGGCACTGGCGTCTGGTAACGGTCTGTCCTCTGATGTTTATTCTCTGTGAGTGCGGCGTATTCTAGATGGCGTTCGATGACTGGCATCCTCTACGACAAGGAAACAACAGGGTGCCTTAAATCAAAGATCTACAGAACCGCCATACGACTAAACGCGATTTACGATGCTGAGTGCTGCTCGTGATCAGAGAAATCACAACAATCTTCGGGGTAGCGGAAAAGAAAATGTTGCGTAGAACGGCGGACACTCTTTTGGACTATATTACGAACGATGTAATAAGGGAGCGCATCGGAGTAGCTCCTAATGCTGAAAAATAGGTGGCTTGCCTTCGCTGGGACGACCGCGTCTCCTTCGCGGAAAAATCGCGTTCGTAAGATGGTCCCTAGTCTAGACATGCCCTTCAAACGGGTTAAGGGGCAACTGAAGCAGCGCTTTCTTGGCATCTTGGATGAGGATTGAAGATATATACCCTTACTCCCACCTGGCGTTCAATTTGGATAGGTGACAACATGTGACTGACGAAAAGTGTCAACAGACCAGATAAGTTGACCACCCGCTGCCAAATAGTTATTGACACTAGAAATGTTCAACCTTTACCTTATTCTGAAAATATGATATTTTTACACTTCTGATTGTCAGCATTACTAATATTTCAAGATCTGCTCGAAATTTGGCCGATACTCAGAAGTTGAAGGTCGTTGTATTTGTGATGGTGACTATGTAGGAGAACATTGCGAGTCTCGGTGTCATGGATGGGTGAATCAGACGACAGGTGACTTTTAACTCTAGATCTTTGTCTTATTTTCTTAACGGAAGGGTCAGCCTTGGACTAGGGGGATCTGTCCAGTTTAGTACAAATGGCAGTACTGTTCTAGCCTTAGGAAGTTTCATTCGCTATTGAGGAGGGAATTGCAGGTGAATGCCTCTGTTCTGGCCGGCTATTCGGGAAAGCATGTGATCTTGTATGCGTCGAAGGTCAAGTAATCGACGGAAGGTGTAGATGCAGAGAAGGTGAGTTGGAGCCCAATATGCGAGAAAATTTTGTTTCATCCGAATTTGATCCCGGAAATTATATGGTTTCCGATTACTCTCCGTGGAAACCAGCATTCGGTAATTTCTTCTAGGTTACATGGGATTGTCATGTGCAACGTGCGATCCAACATCTGGGCGTGAATGTGAGATTCCATCGAAACGACGAGGTGCCGTCAACTCTCGCCTTACACTCAGCGGCCTCTCCTTTTGTATGATAACCATAGGATTGCTATGTGTCACGGCAAGGTGATTGTCGGTTCATGTCGGTACCATTTTCTGGCTTGTGAAGCTGTTATATGCTTACAGACGACGTCGTGCCGGACCATTGCCACCTTCAGAAGACACTTGGTATCGAGTCTTTCAGCCAGCACAGACACGAGCAGCAAGGTTCGCGTCTTGTTTTTCATTTCCTCTTTTGACGCTGCATTTTCTTCACTATTCAGGTGTCGGCATGATTTGATGTGCGGCGGGTCTTGGATACCACGAGACCGAGCTCTTCTGGTAGCTCCCGGTCGAGCTGCTGTAGTTCATGGAAGCAATCGAAGCTCGAGGTAAAACTGTTTGTCATATCCTGCATACTCCAAACTAGGGGTGAATTTGCCATTTCGAACTATGAGTAATCAATGTTTCAGCCGAGGTAGACGACTGGCCACCCCTCCTCCTAGTTACACGTCAGTGGACAGTTTGGCTGATGACCAGTCACCGCCTTCGTACGAGGAAGCTACACGAATCTTGGAAAACTCCACGACCAATGCAGCTCTGATCCAGGAGCTGATCGATGAAACCGTGCAGACTGTCGAAGCGAAAGACGAGTCACTGCAAGTGGCTGAAGGTAGTACCAACGCTACGACGCAAACATCTACCCAAGATGACGAGAACGCTAACACGACGATGGCGAGCTCGATCTGACCCTGACATCTGCGAGCACTGCGCACCGTGCATCTTCTCACACTGGCAGGAGTGATAAGCAACTAGTATGAAACTGGTAATTGGACTACTGATTTCCTGATTGAGTTTTCAGCGATCGCTGCTACGCACAACGGCTGGGTTCCCTTTTTTCGCGAAAAAGTCTATGTTAGATGTTCACTCTTTGCTGGAGTATGTATATGTCTGCCTCATCCATGTAATTCAGTACCAGTGCTTTGATCGTGTGGTAAGCAGGCGGTGGCAGCAGCTCTCTTAGATCGTTGGTTCGCTGCGCAGGTGACACTAAGCGCCCTTTTGTTTGAAAGTTTTCTGGAGTTGACGGTCGTTCTTCTCCTGGAAAGCGTGTTACTGTACGGCCGAACTGGACGACCCAGTCCAATGCCCTCTCAATTGAACGTGGTAGACGATTTCCTTGAAATTTGCGGGGTGCGCTGCTTCATTAAGAATAGTGTGCTGCAATTGGCTGCTCTGCAAAGAGAAGCAGAAGAGAGGGGGCACAAGAGCTGGAGAAAAATTTCAAAAGCATAGGTGTGACGCATGGATGATGCAGACAGACACCACGTGTAGATTCCCGACGGGGGAGCCCCCTCCCCCATATGTTTACTCTTGGTATAATGTCGAGGTTATAACTTGTCTGTTCAGAATTGGAATAGTTGAAAAAAATGGTTGTCTTCTTTTGATTTGTGACGTTCGTCCAACATTACGTCCCTTCTCATACCTTCCGCTTCTCGACAATTTCCTGAAATTGATTGGGGTGCTGCCCACGAGGGGGAATTTCTTATAACGCATCTGACCATCAACACCTGCGAGTGAATCTCGCAATCAGCACTCACTTATCACCAGCCGTTTTCCTGTGAGTGTGCCTCCTGCAGTTAAAGAAGTTAGGATATTCACCTTTTACTGGAAGCCTTTCACTGCAGGAGGTGATAGGCTTCGCTTAAACTAGTTCTCCATAAGTCCGTTCTGCGCAAAATAACCAGATGACCAACTTCTTCAGCAATCCTTGCTTAGTTGCGAGTTCAGCGATCTCTCCACATAACAAAGGCACGGCGCGACCTTCGTCAATCTTCTCGGTATTGCCAATTTGTGAAAACATCGAAGTTTTCCATGTAAATATGACCTGCTCGCGAGGTTTTCTTAGGCCGGTATAAATGCGTTTCTAGACTTTCACAAAATGTTCCCTTACCTATATGTGTGACTTTTTTTCTTCTTCACTCTAATTGTTCAACTTTTAATGCTGAGCCTTCACCATCGAAGCTTTGTTTTTTTTTTTTGACCACAGAAAGTATTTTTCGACTATTTTTGTAGATTTTCGCAATTTTTTTCTCGAATTCCATGCCTATTAGACCATAAGTGCATTGGGTTCAGCGCATCTCTTCCCTCGTGTCAAACTCTAATCGCATTTGCTCTGTCTGTTTACTTCTTACCGCTTTGTTTATCACGACCATCAAGATGTATTATTTTTACTTCGAAACGGGTTTCATAGATTTGTTATTTTTTTGAAAATGTTTTAAAAGAAGCATAAATATGTGATATAAAAATGAGTAAATAAAATGAAGTACATCAGACTTTGCTTCTCGTTTTACTCGTTGAGTTCGTGCTTTACGTAGTGTAGGCATTTGTGAAAGGCTATCTACACAGCCTCTAGTGATTTTTCCTCTCCTGCAGCTTCGCTATGGGATCGGTTGAGAAGATGAGCGATTCCATCCACTTCGAAATTTAAGGTGGGTCTTTTATAGAGTGAACTGCACTTCGGCTCTATAGTTGTCTTCAGATGCTCTGGAAACGAAAACCTGAAGTTCAGCTTTAAGAAATCTTCTGTCGAGAGTTCAATGAAATCGGTTCTTATAAAAAATAA